TTGGTGGGTTGGTGGGTTGGTGGGTTGGTGGGTTGGTGGGTTGGTGGGTTGGTGGGTTGGTGGGTTGGTGGGTTGGTGGGTTGGTGGGTTGGTGGGTTGGTGGGTTGGTGGTTTGGTGGGTTGGTGGGTTGGTGGGTTGGTGGGTTGGTGGGTTGGTGGGTTGGTGGGTTGGTGGGTTGGTGGGTTGGTGGGTTGGTGGGTTGGTTGGTGGGTGGGTGGGTCGGTGGGTCGGTCGGTCGGTCGGTCGGTCGGTGGGTTGGTGGGTTGGTTGGTTTGGTCTATTGATTGGTTGGTTGATTGACTGACGGACGGACTGACTGGCTTACTGACTGACTGTCTGGAATTTGAGAGCCGCGCGAACCCAATTTGACAATCCGTTCTTTGCGTGTTTCCATTGTTTCTTGCATTGATTCACACAGGGATGCGCAGAGAAGGATTTCGGCTTCATGTTCGAGCAAGGGCTTTCGGCTTTCGTGCATCTAGATAGCCAACCCTGCAGGTAACAAGAAGCAGAAGACAAGGAAGACGAAGCTGAGGACCAGCAAAGGGTAGCATTTGCTGGGTAGCTGTTGGCCTCAACAGTGCCCACCTTTGGAAAGGTCCACATAGAGCCAAATCCTTGATTTGACCTACAACTCTTTGACCTGTAATTCGGAAAAATAAGTTTCTCGATCACTATATTGTGACAAATTTCATCTTCCATTTTCTTAAGAATATGTTTTATTTTCCCTGTTGGTTTTAAAGGACATCTATCACTACTGGAAATGATATTAGTTGTTTTTTTGTTTTTCGGGGGGCTTAAGCAAATGGAAGTCATAGCATGCCAATTCACGCTCGCATGCCTGCGGCTCTGTGTACCCGAGGTTTCACACCATGAGAGGCTTGTTGAGGCATGGCGACTTTTTTTGGCACGCTGCATTCCGACTTGTTTGGTCTCGTCCTTCATGTTTTTGAGAGTTTGCTCCTGCACAGTGCCGTCCTGGGCTCTTCCCGCGAAGATATCTGTTCCGGTGGAGAGAGATAGAGAGGCATGGCAGAATTTGGGATCCACAGCTGAGCCTACTCAATCTGCCTGTTCATGCCGAGCCATATGCATTCAGGAGCTGCCGTATCGAATCAATGCAGCTTCTAGCTTTTGGTGCCAGCGCCGTGCATTTGCCTAGACTTCTTGTGAGGTCCTTACAACATCAGCATAACCGATGTGTACATTTCCTTTTCTTTCCACTGCCAAGGACTGCTCTCTTTCAGGGAACCTCCCCCAAGGGTTCCTGTGGATGGTGCATTCTGAAGATCCAGAGGCCAGAAATGCCTTCGTAGGATGGAGAGGGGAAAGGAGGAAACCATTGACGTCTATGGCGGTCGCCTTGCTGAAAGTGGCATGGCTGCACATTGTAAGGGAAAACCGTCGACAGTGCATCGGGAGCACGTCTTGAGGTCATCTTTGCCCAGAACACGAGCGGCATGCAGTTTGATCACGTTGTACCCTTGCTTTTTTGCCTTGCCCTCTTGCTTACCGTGGCCTTCGGCTCTGTAGTTGCAAGCCCTTGATTTTCTCCTTGCTCACTTTTTGTTCCTGCAATCCGTGCTTGTCTACATCGACGGCTTTTGCTACCTTCAAAAACTGGTTTGGCTCGCCTTGGGTCATATATTTCTCACTTGGCGCGCCACCACTTCAACCATGAACTCGCAACGAACCCTGACTTCCAAGATTGCATTATCAAGGAATAACTTTTGAGTTCACAGCGCCTTGTTGCTGGGCAGTAAACAAAGGAAAGCAGAGCACTGCACTCATTCTCACGCATGATGGGGTGCCAGCAATGCCGGGTTGGGCCAACATAAGTTGATTCCATAGCAAATCTAAGACTCTTAGACTGAGCTGGCAACGGCTGCCTGGTACGTATGTGCCGTTGGCAACTTTGAACGGAATGACAAAGAAGGGTATATGATCATCTATGATCCATCTATCAGCCACGATGCTTCTATTCATTGCATCCGCATGTCGCGCATATTATAGAAATTACACAAGTTGCCGCCACAAGCGTGTCCCAAATCAGTACTTGACACAGCCCTGTGTGCTCACACCAACCAGCCAGGAAGGCACCATGTCAGCCTCGTTGATGCTGTGCACTACCAAGGTGATGTCCTTTTGGTGCTTCACAAGAGCCAAGAGCAGGGGCAACTCGGGCGAATGGTTGCCAAGGAATGCAAAGTACAAACCAAGTTGAACCCTTCCCCAAGACAAACATGGAACCTGGCAAGGCCTTCCGCCAACTCCCGAATATTTTCTGGCAGGGTAGTCTGATTCAGGGGAGGAACCATGACTGGATTTGCTACAGCATTCAGCAGATTGCCAAGACTAGTGTTTGATCAGCCGTTCTTGTAGTACACAGCCAGTGGTTTGACCACGTGGCCAACCGCTTAACCAGCACCGCAAACCAGTGATTGACAGACAGGCTGAACAGCAGAATGCCCGCCTGCTTGCAAAGGGATTCTAAAAGTGTGTCGACCATCTCAGGCTGGATGAACGAATACGCTTTCTCAAAAGCATTCGGCCATGATTTATGGTTTGTTCTCGGCAAGTTTCGTACTGTGAGACAGGCCATGGCGAATCAGGCGAATCAGCCGTTGGCCTGGCATGATTTGTTTTTCTTAGATGTGCAAAAGGACAATCCCATGGGATTGAACCTAGGCCGTGGGAGATCATGTGGAATGGGGGCCACACTTAAAGCATTTTTCCTTTTGGGGCAGTAGAACAAGTTGCTGGGGGCCTTGAAATACAAACGTCGGGATGCATTCAGCTCCCGTACTTGTTGCAGGGCCTTTCTTCATGATGTGCTGTGTGCGGTGTGAGTGACAAACAGTTTGCACAACATATCCAAGAATCTTCTAGCTGATCTCCAAGACAATTCATGCTTCAGGTACTTAATGCGCTGGCAGTCTGTTGCAGATGCTGCTAGGGACGATCTCGCCAAGGGGATCTCTTGCAGTGGTTGTTGTATTTCATACATTGCTGTTGTGTTTGCAGTCTTGAATAAGCAGGTCTTACGCTGTGTGGTTTGTATCAGTCTCCTTTGAGCTGCCTCAACACAACTTTATACTTTGAGTCGCCGAAGATTCACTTCGAGCTTGTGCATTCCCTGCGTCACACTCAAGTTGTCTTCCGGCCAGACGCTTCAGGAAGACCATCATTCTTCGGCTCTGAGCGCCATTCGACTTACGAGTGCTCTCCCAGTTAAGTGACTTGGGCACAGTAGTAACTTCACGTAACTTCAGTAAGGAAGTGAAGCCTTGGAGACTTCGCCAATGGCTGTTGGTCAGTCAGAACTTTGAGCCAGACATGAAGACTAATTTCTGGATGCCTGAACAAATGAATGTTTGGTCGATGCCTCACTGGAACATCCTCCATCAAGTCATTTTAGCTCGGCGGCTTGTATCAATTGTGCGCAGTACATGTTGCGGACACACGCCACTAAGAGAATGACCTGTGCGCGCATGAATCTGGTATCAACTTGAATGGATAGATGTATTTCAGTTGGGGGGTTTGGCTTTTTTTTTGACAATGCACAACAGAAACGCACTTGAGCACTCGGGAGCTTTCAGAGCGGATCCCGGCCATTGTTTTCTCCTCGCGTCGCGGCGAGCCGCTCGAGAGCTGTCTCATGTGAGGGCCTAGCTGGTGCACTAGCTCGGTCCCTAGATAAAACAAAAATCAACCACCGACTTGAGGCAGGAGCAAGAGGATGCCCTGTGTGGACTATGGGAAGTTGAGAATGTGGTAGTTTGAGTGAAGTCCGCTGCGAGGCGGAACTATAGGTAAGAGCTGACTGCTATGCAATGCCATGAGGAGAGGCGTTTCTTTGTGCGAGGCTTCATGGAGCTGTGCCTGTTGAACCTGCGATCAGTCCATTTCGGTCACGCTCGGGCGCGGTGCACCAGCCTTCCGGTGGCTAAGCGCCCTTCGGCCGAGGGTTTGCGCCAGGCGGCAACGGGTCCCAAAATGCCACCTACAAAGTCTCGAGCCACTTCCCTTAGGTTTGGCAGGTCGAAATCAGCGTGAACCTGTGACTGGAGCCTTCGGGGGATCAGTGCCTCTTTGCGGCTCAAAGCCAACCGTGCCATCCTTCACGGCAAGAAGGAATGCATCGATGGGCGAAGGCTTCCAGCGCATTTAGTGCGCTGCCCAAGTTGCGAACATAATGCACTGATGAGTTGGCATATGAGCAGCAGTATCATTTGAAAGCATCTACATACATATATATATATGTAGTATTACTTTGTGTATCTACACACACACACCTGTATATATATATACACATACATATGCAATATTTATGGTCCAGCGTTGACAACCCCCCGAATGGTCATTGTCAGGAGTATCAGACCCGCCCGCCCCCCCCCCCACCCCGCGTGGCCTGCGGTCCTTTGGTTGGGTTCTGGTTTTGGGTTGGTTTAGGATTCGTGTATTGTACACTAGCAATTCTACTGCATGTGGATCGTGCAGCATGTTCTACCTTGGTTAGTTGTGCATCCCGCAGTGCCTTACCAGTGTACCTCTGCGCAGCCATAGAAAAGAGCAATGCCGCCTCCGCGCAGTCACACTTGTCCGTGTTGATGTATGATTAGGATGCATTTAGCCCTGTTTACACTACAAAGTGGCGGGGCCGGGCCTGCTGACGAATCCCCGGTGTTAGTGGATTCCGGTAGCTTCCTTGCTCTAGCCAAGCAACTGATAATGTACGCCTTCCGGCCAAGTTGGCAAAATGCCCTTGATCTCTGGACATATCAGCCGTGAACGTGTCACTCAGATAATTGACGCGACAACAGGTGGAGATCCCGAAATCCTTGAATACAATTGCATAAGCGTGGACCCTCTTCAGAACCAGTTGCATGGCGCTGCCGAGATGTGTAGGGTAATTTACTTGCAGGAGACCTACGAACCCTGACTCTCGGGTTAAGTATTTCAAGGACACTGTGCGGCAATATTTCTTCAAGGGAGTGCACCATGTCGTTCCTTTTCACATGCTCTCTTTTCTTTCGGTCTCATCGTGGCAATCAAGAGATGATCGCGTGGCTTGGGCGCTGCGAGATCGTGGCCAAGAAAGTCGTTATTGCCTTGATGGATCTTTTCCAAGAACGTAAGATCGCAGACCAGACCTTCCTTGATGCGCTCAGCGCCGCAGCCCAGCAGCCCAACGCACCATTGACCAAGCCCAAGATCCTGAAGCCACGCTAGGGAAACCTCTCGCAGAACACAAGAAGCTGCAAGCAGCAAGCCACTGAAGCGCATGCCCCCTTGACGAGTTTGGGGAACCGCTGGTGGCCTCGCAACACCATGTCTACACTTATGATGTTTGTCCAGATCTGGCGCAGCCATAGCGGAGCCGTGGCGTCTATCCCGCCTTCCATGTTGCTGCGAAAGCTCGCAAGGTGCCTCTGCAGCTAAGCAAGTTAAAGCATGTGGGAGCATGTGACTAACATAGACAAGCGCTTACCTCGACAACCGCCGATCAAAGTCTGCGCGGACGGCCGCAAACCTTTGTAATTAGAAGCACGCTCGAAGCAAGCGTGGCGTCGCAAACAAAGGCGCGCAGACCGAAAGGTTGCCCTTTGAACCACTAGCAAGCGTAGGAAAACTTGGAAAGTGCGCGGAAGCTGCGGGCTTGGTTGTCAAAAACTGCGGCTCTTGAAAACTAAGCCGCCAGCAGTTTGCAAGAATTTTCGAGGACACTTCGGGTTTTAAGGTTTGCCAAAACATGAATTAGACGGAACATGTTGCCTAATAGTCAGAACTAGTTTAGCCTATTTCGTCTATTCCCGTGCCCAAAAAACTAGCGTCAAAAACCAACTGAATAGACAGCAGTTTCTTATTAATTATCAAAAACATTGCCCGTAGACGAGCACAAAATTGACCGAACACGCAAAATTGTTGCATGGACAGTTTTGTGACCAATCCGGTCGTTCGTTGTGGATCTGTGTACCATGGCCTCTTGTGTGCGCGAAAGAGTCCCCGCGCTCGCGGATTTCCATGCCGAAGCCAGAGGGGGCAGGATGGAAGCATCCTGCGCGCACATGAAATCATTCTTCGCACGCGTGACGTGGCTGCCGTGCAAAACCTTTGCAGCCCGGGCCAGCAGTGTTTCAACTTTGCCTTTTTAATCTCACATATTGGTTGCTGCCGAGGCCAACATGCTTCAGGGAAGGAACTTGTGTGTCCTATTTGACACTGTTTCTATGGTCCCTTACAGCAATGTAGGAATTGCCCATCCGCGCTTGTGTTGTACGCAGTGGCTTTCCAGTATATCGCTGCCTTCGCAGTCAGAAAAAGAGCAGTGCCGCGTCCGCGCAGTCACGCTTGCCCGTGTTGGGTCCTTAAATTTTCAGGGCGTTCTGCCTTCTTCGCGCTACAAAGGGTGTTGGTTCGGGGGTCTCAGGGCCGTAGGGGGGCTGCCAGGATTCGCAAGCGGCGCTGAAGAAAGGGGGAGGGGTCTGCGGACCCACCATGTGGGGGTGGCCACGGCAAATCCACATATGTATGTGTATGCGCACATAAATCTGTACATATATATATATATATATATAGATGAAGCTTGGATTTGTCATCATGTTTCCTACCAGCACAGCAATGCATGAAACGCCATAATTCTTTTGATCACTCCTGGGGTATGTTTTTTGCCAATATTGAAACACCAGCGTTTGCACGCTGTGAAGAGCCTTGCCCTCGCCAGCAGTCCAAAATTGTGTCTTCTGCCAGTGCTCGGCTTGCGCTGGGTGTTGCGACTTCTGTCCATGTTTTACTATTTGTCTGGACAGACCCAATTTCATTGGGGCTGTTTGTGTGCGTGCGCTAGGAGTCAGAGCTGTGAGCCAGAGGAGTTCAGACAAAATCGTGAGAATGTGGATGCCCATGGCGGAGGGAAGGGGGCTTTTGCTTCAAACGACAGGCTTTGAGTGCAGCATCCATATTTGAGCCGTCAAGAAGTGTACCAGCTGAACAGCAACTACAGCATCCGCAGGATTATGAAAGGGGAGGCCGCATGTGCATGTAGTCGTTTTGGCAAACCATTGGCTCTTATGCTTTGGAGGAACGGGCTACCAGGATCCCTTCCCTTCTTCAACATGAAATCACCCAAAACGAAGCACCATGTTTCGCTTCCCGGCGTCCTCAGATTCCAGGCCAAGGGGTAAGACGCGCCAGGGAAACAGGTTGTGCGTTCTCCCGCATGTTGGACAATGCTTCTTTCGCTTCTTTCCAACGTTGACGTGAATTTGAGTGTGCGGTTCAAGTCCATGGGCAGGAAAGCGCCGAAGGCGTAGTGCGCAAATCGCAAAGGTTTGCAGAGGAAAGGTTAAGGTGGGAACAGCTCGAAATGGTCTACTTGCTCAGCGCTCGCAAATCACAATGTTTGAAGGTAAGTTCTTGAGTCTTAGTGACACCTAGAACGCAAGAGTTTGCCTGGAACTTCCTTTGGCTGGCGACAATCGGGCATCATTGGCGGCGCAAAGCTGATTGGGGCCTAGAGTGACAGATTCACGCAGGGCCTCAGGGATCGCAGATGAGAATGATGGCTTGATTTGAAGGCTGAATATGATGTGTAGGATCCTTAACTTTTTGTCTGCACGCATATATGTTCTCGCTGCGCTCCTGAATCGTTCCGCCTTCGGTCCCGCTCGTTTCTCGCGACCGGTTGGACTTTACACACACACACACGCTCAGCCGAATCAATACATTGTTGGCCGCTTTCTTGCTAAAGGCTTGGTGATCTGACACTAGCCATTGGCGCGGCCCTCCCGGGATTTCCGGGGCTTGGTCATGATTGCCGCTTCTTCCTAAAACCCGGCCGTGCGATCCAAAACACACCGGCCACGCAGGAGACTGCTTATCAACACATTGCGTTTTTGGTCTGCAGTTTGCCGATTCGCTGTTTTGCCAACTGTACATAGGTTTATCAGGTCAATAAATCCCATGTGTTTGGATGTTGCTGTGGCACACCGTCTCCATGTTGATTCACAAACTGGTGTCAACCCCCTTCATATGGGACTGCTCAGGACAAATCATAGCAACCACACTTTGGGCTTGAAAGGCCTTGCGTTTGACAATGTACTGCTCCTTGAATCCTGTAGTTGTGCAATGAGTTGGATTTGATTCTCGCTGAGGAAGCGGTGATTTCCGCCAGGGAGCAATTGTTTGTGCGCACTAGGTTGACCGAGGGGAGAAGACGCGGACATCCTGTGGATGGCTGCGGCTTGTGCCAATGTTGGAGTTGGCAACAGCCTGCTCTGCCACGAACAATTTTCTCTGAAGCCTTGGCGGCCTGACAAGGTTTCCGCGGAAGAGCTGGCTCTCAGAGTCTTCTGACTTGAGCAATCATAGTCCAAGATTGTTTACTCTCGTCCGTTGGTCCCGGGTGCATTAGAGTAGCCCTATTTCTCATTGTGCCGGCGTTGCGGGTTTTCATTTCGCGCTGAAGCCGATACACCGACACACCGATATCCCCCCCCCCCCCCGCGCGCGCACCGATATCCCTCCCCCCCTCCCGAGAAGGACATCGGCGCCCAGGCCCAAAATCAGTGATCGCCCTGGACGGATGTAAGAAACCGAGTGTTAGGAACACCAAACGAACATTCGGTGATGGAATGTATGGGAGCCACGCATGTTTATGGGTGCAAAAGTTTTGAAGAAATACAGTTAAGGAAGACTTCTGGGCTCCACTGTTTGTGGCGTCAAATAGTGTTCAGTCAAACATGTGCCCTGCAATGTTTGAGGCCACAAAAAAGTGTACTTCAATTGTTTCTCTTGATCTGTATGGTCTTGATCTATATGGTCAAACTATGCTCATGAAACCACGTAGTCAGATTGTTTGTTTGCAGACTTGTGAGGCCGCGGGAAGTTGTAGTCCACAAACTTCAAAGTATGTTCATCCGCTCAAATTTGTAGCTCAGGGGTATTTCTGGACAACAATTTGCTGTGGCCTCGAGATTTTGCAGGCCAAACACTTGACAGACAAACGTGTGATTATGCGGTTGGATTGGCGAACATATGTTGAACACATGGTTAAGGAACACTTTGCGTGCTACAACTTCCGGCGGCCTCAAAGTTTGCAGGCCAAATGACTTGGTGACCGCAGTTTTTTTGAATGGTCAACAACTTTGTGTGTTAAAAAGAAGATTCTCAGAATTTTACAGGCCAAATTTTGACAGACAAACATATTGTTTTGAACACTAGTCAAGGGACATGTTTGGAGCTCGGCATTTTGCAGGCTAAAATGTTTGACAACAGGAGTTGGTGACTACCGGGTGTTATGGGTCCAATTTTTGCCAGCCTGGACATAGGAGATTTTCTTGACTACAATATTTGCAGTTGCCTCAACATTTCACCGTCCACATTGTTTGACAGACACAGTGGTAGCTGCATGTTTCCTGGTCACCGTGTTTAGTGAACAGGCGAACTCATTGACAAACAATGTCATGATTGCACTCGTTCGTAGGTAAACATAATTTGTACACTCAAAAATAAGGAAAGATATCTGGACTACATCTTTCTTTGGCCTCAACAATTTGCAGCCGAAAGATGTGTCACACAAATTGGTGAGGGGGTGAGAAAAGGTATCCGTGGTCTCGAGTGTCGGCGCGCGCACGCCGGTATCTACTGCAGCCCAGCAAGGATATCGGCGCACGCGGACATCGGCGCGCGCACGGACCTCTGGGCCCAGCAAGGATATTGGTGCGGGCGCCGATATCTACGGGGGCCCATCCAGGCTATAGGCGTGTGCGGATATCGGCACGCGCGCCGATATCTACCGGGGCTCGTTTTACGCAAATATTTATGGATTGTCTTCTTAAAAACAACGTAAATGTTTCAGAACTGCTTAAATCACATTTAAAACTACTTAAAAAACAAGAGCACCTGTTTTGTAAGGAAAAAGCCTTCTTTTCAAGCAGTTTGTCATTTGTAAGTTGGCTTTGTTCCATTTGTCTGTTCAGCTTGTTCAGCTTCGGCGCATCAGTTTTCCATGGGCAAACATGAGCGAATTTAAGTAAAATCAAGACAGTCCCAGTCTGTAACACGGTTGTTGCTGGCTTGTTTCCATGAAATTCCCATCAACTTCCCACATGAACTTTCCAAGACAGTTTCCACGATTTTGCATCAAGTTTCCATGCATTTTCCATGAAGTTTTCATGGTTATTTTTTTTGACCTGCTGGGTTGTTGCTGGCTTTTTCCCATGCAACTCCCATGAACTTTCCACAGGCACTTTCCTGGAAAGAGCCCACTATTTCCCATGAAGTTTCCACGCATGTTCCATGAAGTGTTCACGCCTGTGTTTTTTCGACCTGCTGGGTTGTTGCTGGCTTTTGTTCCATGAATTTCCCATGAACTTTCCACAGCAGCAGGTAACAAAAACACAACCATGGAGTAGCTATATAATCTTATGTTTTTTTAATGAATTTGCTTCTCAATCTATACTTATTTCAATGTGAATGCACTTGTAAGTAAATCTCGCAGCCTGAATCACTACTTGTGTCAGAAAGAGCACTCAGGTGAGAAAACCTGGCAGCCCGGAACAGGTCAGAAAGGAGAAACCACGTAAACTTCATGCAGCGTTCTTCCCAAGAGCTTGGGCTAGCCACATAATCTTGATCAGCTTTATTTTGACGAATTTGCTTCTGTACCTTTTCCTGCGTCAGTGTGAATGCACAGGTAAGTAAGTTTCGCATTCTGAATCACTTACTTGTGTCTATGAATTTTCTATGAGTTTCTTATGAAGTTTCCATGAATTTCCATGCATTTCTTATGCGCTTTTTATGCACTTTTCAGGCCTCCTCGACAGATTGAGGCCTTCTCAACAATTTACGTAAATTTCGCGTTTAAGTGTAAATTCATCGATCTATGGATTTCTGAAATTTAAGCAATCTGCAGCCTTAGGGAGGATATCCGTGGTCTCGAGTATCGGCGCGCGCGCGCAAGCCGATATCTACTGAGGCCCAGCAAGGATATCGGCGCACGCGGACATCGGCGCGCGCACGGACATCTGCCCAGCGAGGATATCGGTGCGGGCGCCGATATCTACGGGCGACCAGCCAGGATATCGGCGTGTGCGGATATCGGCACGCGCACCGATATCTACAGGGGCCCAGTTGGCATCGGCGCTCGCGCGGATATCGGCGCACACCTAAATCGCCCAGCAAGTATACCAGCGCGTGCGGCAAGCGTATCGCCACGCTCGGGAATTGGCGCGCGCGCCGATACCTACTGGGACCCAGCAATAAGGATACGGCGCGCGCAGATGTCGACGCGCGCGCCGGTATCTACCGGGGCCCAGCATGGATATCGGCGCGCGCGAAAATCGGCGCGCGCGCCGATATCTACGGGGACCCATGCCAAGACATCGGCACGCGTGGATATCGGCGCGCGCGCCGCTATCTACCGGGGCCCAACAGGGCTGCTTGCGGATATCAGCGCGCGCGTACATCGGCGCGTGCCCCGGTGTGGGGCGCGGCAAGGATGACGGCGCGCGCGAATATCGGCGCGCGCGCCGAATATCGGCGCGCGCGCCGATGGGGGGCCCAGCCAGGATTTCTACTTTGTCTTGCGCCTGGCATAAAGAAAGCTGGGAGCCATTGAAGAGGGGCGATTCCCGATCTTTGTCTCCGGAATTATTAACTGCACTGACGTTCCAGGAAACAAGTTGCAACACGACCCACAAATATTGATTGGACTTCCAGAAGCATGTATTGCAACACATCTACTTCTCGAGTATGTCACGCAAAAAGCGTAAGCAAGCTCAGTTTCCCGCATGCGGAAGCAAGCTGAGGCGGTTCAAAACACGAATGCGTCGAGCTAGGTGTTCTCATTAGGCTTTTCTGAACTAGTTCTGCGATAGTTACAGTGAAATCACCTTGGGGCTGACGCGCTCACCTATGAACCTATTTTGGAGCATTGGGGCACATGTGCATGTAATTGTGCCCGCCTCGGCCCAGCCGAGCGCGCAGCGTGTGTGTTTCGACTGCAAGCAGCAGAGCTGATCAAGTGGGACAGGTTCTGGCGTCATTGGACCAATTGATGTCATGTCGCGCAGGAATCCCCGAGGCAAGGGCAAGGCGATGCGTAGGACCAGGAGTGAGTCATGGAGCCAAGCGTCAGTGGCGCTGCGTGCTGGGGCAGTGGATGTCATGGGCGGAAGTTGCGCAGAAATTCTCGACAACGAAAGCAGAGCTGTGGTGATTAACGCGTGAGGCAGTTTTGATCGACTGTGTTGCCGTGGGGTTTTTTCAAGCATCGATCGGTCGGAGTCGGACATCGGTTGCTTGCGCCACGAGCTTGGCAGTCTTGATCGACTGTGTTGGCGTGGGAGTTGGGGCTGGGCCTGCGGCTGGCCTAGCTTGGGTTGCTGGCTGGGCCTCAGCTCAGCACGATCAGTCAAGTTGCTTGATTGCTCAGGGTGGGCTGAGCCTTACTTGGGAGGGGGTGGGCTGGGCAGGCTGGACAAGTGAAGATTCTCTTTGCAAACTAGATCTGAGCGCCCTGCGGCCGAGGCGAATTGAAATGGCAATTGAAATGGCAAGCTATTCATCCCATATGCGCTACTGCTGGTTTTGGCCTTCCCGCGGTCTCAATTCTATGCCTGCCAGGTTGTTCGCCTTTTCTGACAAGAAATTGGCACACGGCATAGGGCCAGGGATCTACACTTGGGGACTTCGCTCGCGGAAGTCTTTGCCGGACTAAGAGTTTAGCTATCTTCCACACCAGCAAAAGGATGCAGTTCTCGCCCGCCGGTTCTGACCGTGTCGCTGCTTGAAGTTGCAGCTCGCTTTGCAGGGGGCACCGGGTGAAATAGAAGTGGAGTTCGAGGGTCAAGCCCGCAATCTATATTGAGTTGCCCCAAGTTGCAATGCAATGAGTTGTCAAACACGACGGCGCTGATGGAGAATGGTGCGGTTTTCAAGTTGCTTTTGGTAGAACAGAGTAGCGGAGGGCAAAAGCCTGTGTCGAGTTCCTCGCAGTGGAACAACCCCCTTGTGGGTATCCGACCTCCGCAGCAGGTGCGATCGTGCCAACAACGGGACTTGCCAAAAAAGAACACCACCATATGATTCTCAATGTGTTGTTGCTTCGCCCGTTTTCTGCTGTGTCATATAAGGCGGATTGCACACGAGCAACTCTTCACGACCTGCATTCACAGTTTGATGGCTGTGCAGCTGTCCATACCAACCTAGACCAACTTAGCAAGTCATGCTAAAGAGGCCATCACGCATGCTGGCGCAGAACAAGTCATGCACACTTGACCGCACGTGCCGTTCTGAACCTAATATGTGTCTTGCTTATTTGTAGGACTGTTAGTGTTATCCTTTGCATCCTTGAATGATTGTTCGGTTGGCTGTTGGAGTGTCAGGAGGTGAATTGCCGTCTCCTTGCTAGTCAGCCAGCATCCACTGCTTTGATGAAGACTGCTGAGCTGTGTAAAGGGTCGCTGCTCTGAAGAATGTGACTGAGAACAACCCCAACAGTGTTGCAAGGAGTGTCGCTGCACGCCTTGGTTAAAGCAACTCTCTAAATGTTTGTCTAAGAATGTTGTTGCAGTGTTGCTCAAGGTGGGGGCTATTTTGTTGATTGGTTCCCCCATCCCTCCTTAAGGTCAGCCAGGTGTTGGACAAGAAGATGTTGAGCTGAGGGGTGTCGGTCAACATCGTGCTCCGGTTTCGAAATTGGGATACATCCCCGCCCCAGGCCTATTCTAAATGAAACGTTCTTTTTTGCAGCCAGACGACATTGGATACATGCAGCCAAAATGCAGGCCACGAAAGCCTTTGAAAAGTGACAAGTGCCCCTAATGCCTACCGCGTCCTTGCGCTGGAGGAGTGCGGGTCCATTAAACAGGTTTCAGGGCCAGTAAAACAAAACGGGGTCGGAAAAACTGGTTTCCGGTCAAAAAAGCGGGTTGCCCGACATTGACCCCAGATCCAAGATAGCCCTACAGGTTCGACTAGCGTCGGGATTCTCGATTCGTGTTGAAATGAGTAAAGGTGTTGCTACTAGTTTTCATCCCCTTGCCACATGGTTCAAAGCAGCCCGGGGCTCATTGCGTATCTTGCCATTGAAATTGTGTCTTCAGCTGAAAAGTTGCGAGAGACCATGACATGTTCAAAACCTACGAAGCTGCAGCTTCAGATGGAGAATGGCCCATTGAGAATAGGCGTTTATTTTTCATTTTTTCCCCCGCCCCTATTTGTAGGCTTCAACAAACCGTCTGAGAAATTCCGTGTTGATTAGATGTTTGAAGAGGTCCGATATGTGCACCGCACCTGAGAAAGATGGCCAGGAAGGCAGAGATTCGCTTAGTATCATGGGCGCATGGTGCACATCTTGAGAGTGGCTTGAGATTTATACTGAGATGATGTTCTGGAAGCCGCAATTGTGTTTAGGATCATTTTGGGTGTGAAAAAGCCTTGTACTCACCGCATTGAGAAGCTGTTTGAGCTTTGAATTTGAATCTCATGGCTTACTGTAAATTGGTGGCGCCCGCCGCTTTCAGATGGCAGCTGGCTGATGATGCTTGAAGGTTATGTGATCCTTGCCGTTGGGGGTATCTAACCTGAGAAATGTCTTGATGTTGACTGCCATGTTTTTGGGTTGAGAACCATCGATGGAACTGGTGACGAAGATATTGTGGGGTTGAACGGTGCCGTTGGATTCACCTCAACATTGCCAACATTGCCATCATCTGGTTGATTCAGATGACGATCATCAAACAATTGGCTTCGGGCGTGTCATGTATAGAGGCGAGCCGCATTGAATGGTATGACTTGCAATATCTTTGAGTTATGAGCTAGCCTTGGCAGACTTCATGTTCTCAGGATGGATTTCCTGGCAAAGAGTCAGATCGTCATTTGCTGTTACAGGCATCATATTCAACCTCCGAATTGATCCAATTCTATTTTATTTCAAAGGGAGTGAGACTGAATTTTTAGAACGATACAACTGCCCAGTCACTGATCACCCTTTG